ATGTATTACGATAGTTACTGAAAAACGTATTAAAACACTATAGAAAAGAAAGGAGTAAATAGTAAAGCATTAATAAAATTTAAACAATGAATCTAAATTAATGTTTCCTACACTCTACGGTTGCTTACGATTGTTGTCAAATTAACAACATAATGCTAAAATTTCTAATTAAATATGAAGGCAATGACTATGTTAACAACAAAAATGTTTGAGCTTCTTGAACATAATGAACTTTTGCTAGTCATCTTTTCAAAGCCAATAATCGGATTACGGAACATAACTATTCAGAATGTCCAGACTTACCCGTACCAAATTGAAACCACAAACAGGGATGACAGCAAACTAAGATCAAATGTATGAAAATTGAACGAAGTTCATTTGGTTTCATCAAGTTTTGCTTTGGATCATGTATCAGGCTTCCAACCAAATCTCATGTATACATTCCGCAAAAAGCAGTCATCCGCCGCCCAATATGCCTTACTTGCTTGAAAATTTGAAAGCGTAAATTAGAAGCTTTTTCGCCGCCAGTTGCGTGGCTAGGAAATGTTTGTCGTTTCCATTGTTGCTATCTATACCACAAGTCGCGAGCCCTGGCATTGGTCCAGGGGCGTACCTAGGCTGGTGCAAGCGGTGCGCGATACCAGGGCCCCCAATCAGGGCACTCGACGAACCCTAACAAAGATGGTGATGGCTGTGAGGAGCCTCATTTGTACTTTGTGCACCCAGAGCCCTGAGAATGTAGCTATGCCTCTCCAATGGTCGCAGTAGCGATAGATAGTGAATCGCCACAGTAGCGACAAGGGATGCCAACAACGTTCATGAAAAAGGGAGGACACCCGATAAAAATAAAAAAAGCGTCATCACATTTCTTTTTATAAATATTTCATTTAGGCTAACGTCAACTCTGTTTCCTTCTTCTCTTCATTTGCGATTCAAGAGTTAAGATTCATTTACAAAATGCAGATGAAGATGGTCTGCGTGTCTCTCTTTTATTTTAGTAGCTAGACAGAGACACTATCATGCATGCGTATGTCAGCGTTCAAAAAAATCTCCATTTACTTCTTTTGTTGATTGGTTCTATCTCATCAGCGAACTTTACGGTTATGGAAACCCCATAAATATCTTCTACTATATTTTAATGTCGGCCAAGGCACATTTAACTTAGTAAATTGTCTTGAATTTACCATAAAACTCCATGTTATGTTAATGTAAACACGGTACAGACTTTAACCTAACTTTCGATGTCCTCTACTTTAAAACTCACTGGCTATTGACATAAAGTGGTTAGTACGAAACGAGTTGCGTTTGTTCAAGACTAAATTGCTTTTTTACGAAATTAAGGTTTATCATTCCATACATGCCACAGTTGTCGCATCACAGTAAACAAAGACCTTGTTAAAAATGTTTTGATAAAGATAGATGCATTCTTCTTTAAAATTTACGAACTTGCGAATCTTCCAATATTTACCGCATCATGATTAATCTATATTTGAATAATTGAATGGTAGTCACTGTTTCAATTTATTATTCAAGAATCTATACTGGCCGACAAAATTCTCGTTTATTGAAATGATGTATCATTCATAAATGAACCCGTCAGATACAAAATATATTCTCATCGCTCTGGACACAATGATCATACATAATATGTACGAAATACTCGCTTATTTCATATGGTGTAGGTAACATTTAAACTTTTCTAACCTATAAATATGACATATTAACTAAAAATTGCTGAAAGTAAAATCATTATATAAAAATAAAAAAAGTTATTACGAGATAAAAGAGAGTTTTAAATTGTGAATAGATCATTTATTCATATCTCCTTGATTCTTTGACTTGCTTTATATATTATACACTATACTGAGGAGCAACACAAAGCTGAAAATTGGCTAACATTACTCCTTCCTACAACGTTTTACGACAACAATGATGTCTTCAATGGAACAGGAGAAAGTTATATCTTCTTCCCCTCTACAGTAAACATACCCTGAAAATATTACTGCGAAATATATTTCACGAACAACGCTGTTCTTTAGTATCGGAGGCTCGTAAAACATTTAACTTCAACTTTCAGCGAGGAATATGGAGACGGAAGAGATCTACAAACTTCCGAATCGGCAGATTTTCTTAACACGCGCTAGCAGTTTCATAACAAGAGACCGAAAAGAATTTCCTCCCTTCTTACCGAAGCTTATTCAAATCGTATAAGGTTATTTGTTACTCGGAGACAGTTACGATAAGTTCGAGTTCCCGTCAAGAGAGGGGACATTCTTTCTGTAGGCACGCATTGCGAGTTTATTCCTCGTCCCGTACTTTTTTTCCGTGCGTAATGCTATTAAGGAAACGATCATACAGGAGGCAAAATAAATCCACGCTGATCACGCAAACAACGATAAGACGGGGAGGAAACTATGAATGTCTCCATTAATTTTCACCTCGAAGATTTAATTTAATCCACAACTGGCATTGGGCATGAGATATCGAGATTTATGGGCGTGTGGGCTGCCCCGCCGTTTAACGTAGCTTGCGATTGTTTGCCAGTGTTGAGAAGCGGCGAGGGGAGTGGAAAAGAGAGAGAGAATGCGAGGCAACAAGTTTATTGCCTGGAGTCTTTCTTTAATGACTTAATGTTTGGCTCAGTTGGCGGGAAAATCCCTTTGAGGAGGGATGCCAAATCCTATGCGGATGGGTCCGACCCGAGGAGTAAGACGCATGAGTTCAGTAGACAGGGTCGATGTGCGGTGTAATTTCTGGGTTCAAGCAGTCGCTCCCTTGCGTTTCGTTAATTTCTCGTTTGAATGATCCAGGTCTTAAAGCAGGGGTTCCCAAACATATTTTAACTAGAGTTGCCTAAGACATTCTTAAATTATCTACTTACACAGGTTTGCAAAAATTAAGATATTACTTTGATGTGTAATGTAGAACTTCATTTTGCCAGGCATCCATTGAGATTATTTTTGATAAAATGTCTTAGTCAGTTTATTATTGCAGATAATGTAGGATTCCCAACACGCATTAGTTTTTCTTTAATATTTACTTTTCAATACTTTCCCTCATACTTAAGAATAAGAGGGAAAAATATTAGATTCACCTCAAATGTATGGCCTCGAATTTTTCGTTCGTAAGGACAGTGTTCCAGGTTATTTCGAGCTGAAACTTAGCACACGCCACAAGATTGAAATTTGTTAGAGTTAAATGATAGTTAAGTTGTTTGTAGTTTAAAGATAGTTAAGTTTGGTGAAGGTGGTAAGGAGATAGTCGTAATTTAGAACCCAATAATCGAAATGTCTGTAAGATTGGATGGAAGGATGGATGGATGGATAGAAGGCTAGCTGGCTGGCTGGAAAAAGGGATCGATGAATAGACGTATGTCATGCATAACTCTGTCAGATTACACGTTTTTGAGATAAATGTTCGTAAATATGTAAATAACAATGATTTGGTTGTGCCGTTCCAGATAACATAATAATATTTTAATTTGGTGAGGGGGGTATTACAAATGAAATCCCTGCGATATTTTCAAACTTTCCTTAAAATAGGGACTTTATTTTAGACTTTATTGCTAAAATAGAGTAAAAAGTATTCAAAATGTTATAGCTAAATTTCTAAATTTAAAAAAAATTCAAAATTCAAATTTTTTTTGCAACCTGCCCTACACCTCCAATATTAAAGCCAAAGCTAAGCCTCTCCCAATGCAATTTAACCCTCAATTTTAGAATTTTAAACGATGTCCGGCACATTTTTTAAAGAAGTATGAGCAGTTGATAAGTAATTATACTAGGGGGAGGAAAACTTTTGGTTTGTTGGGCATTTCCACTAGTTACCTATGGTGCCAGAAAAAGTTCATTGTTAGATGAGGGGAGAATTCCAAATATGTATACTCGATTCCAAATAAAATTTAAAAATTTCTCAACATTTTTAAATTCTTCATAGAAAGAAATTATACTAGTGTTAAAATTTCGTGATATCGAGAATTAAGATTTATCTGCACCCGTGCGAACAATCCACAATTTTGAAATGGAATAGTTTCTTACCGTATACGAACGTGGAATTTGCCTAGCTATAAACTTTGCGTTACATCATATCAGTACAGAGCTGTGCGTGAGTAAATATTCTTATAAATGTTTTTATTTTAATATATTTAATTCCATCATATTGTTTGATTTAATATGAATTTCAGTATTTACAAATCCTCTGACGTTCATGGAAATTGTTGATGGGGGGAACCTTTAGCTAAAACAGCACAGCGGACAGACGTTTTTGAAGGTGGCACAATTTCACAATCTTCCCTGCTTCCCTGCTGTTTAGCTCGGAGCAAATGCTGTCGTTCATTTCGCAAATGCTGCCGTCGGTCGGTCCAACCACGGGGCCGCGCCCCCTCGCATAGGGCCTTGGAGAGCCCAGCGGCACCTCTCTGAAGCTGGCTAGCCACCCATAGCGGACCACAACAAACTACATGTCATCGTTTAATACTAATAAGTTATCATAATTTTAAATTAATTACGCCAGCCATTTTCTAAAAAATCTAGGGTCAGCTTGCTTCAAACTGAAGCTAGCAAGAAACGAAACCAAATACAGCAAAAAATATCAGAAACATTTACCAAGAAATTATTAATTAATTACTATGTAATGACTGCATTTCACCATTATTATAAAACCTAATTGTTTAAAAAGTGAAAGAGGTCCCAGCGAAGAGGGTCCCACAGCAGCCACAACGGCGGCGGCGATTGTTCAGCGAAGCCCTGGAAGCGCATGGATCACCGCGCACTCTTCTCTACTTTTGGGCGGAGATGGTGGCGAGGTCGATGGGAAAGGGCCAGGCCGCGACGGAGATATAGATGGAGGAGGGCAGGCTCGGGATAGTAACTAAAAGAAGATGAAGATAAGAAAAAAAAACAGAAAGGGTGTAGAGGAATGGAAGATGAAATGAGTAAATGCCAAAAGATATGAAGAGGAAGGAAAGGTGATGATAAAGAAGAGGAAGGAAATAAGTAAAGATGATACAAGTAAAAGAAGAAAAAGAGGAGGAGGAAGGAGGAGAAGGCAGTAGGAAGCTAAGGAATAGAGTGTGGAACCTAAGGAGTAGGGAGCGAGAGGATCAAGTTTGGTCCATGGGGATGGCAATGGTGAGATTGGAGGGACAATACTGTATGAAAGTTTGTTACGCAATTTTTGCGTAAATGTTCTCCATTAGAACAAAACATGTAAAGACATTTTTGGAAAACTAATCAACCTGTCCTCAGGTGTCTTGTAGAGAATTAAAAGCCCGCAAAAATTAAAAACAAACATTTCAAAATTGACAAGTCGCGTAATTTGCTATATGCTATATATAATTAAACGAATATTGTTCTAATTGAGATAAAAATTATAGAAGTGGAACCCTTTCTGGAAAATTTGTCACGGTATTTTTAAAAACTAGACACAAATTCATTCAAAATAGCACAGAAATTACACATTTTCCAAACCTGGTGAACTTGACAATAATTAAAAATCTAAATTTCAACAGTCTAACAACCTGAGTTTAGCTCAGAACCTGAGTTGCCGTTGTCTCTGCAGCGACTCTCACCAGAATATCCTAGAGTTCGAGTCTCGACGGTGGTAGAATATCGACATTAGCTACTATATACCTAAGACTAATTAGGCCGCTGCCTGAAGGAGAATTGAGACAGGCCACACAGATGGGTAGTTTTTCGTGGTTTCTCCTAACAATGTCAGTGGCATGCTGGCAGAAACTAACATGGCGGAGTGGCCTGGCGTGGCATAGAGGAGCATGGCGTAGCGTGGCGGTCCGTGGCGGGCGTGCCATGGCGGAGCGTGGCGAGGCGGGACGGAGCGAGGTGGGGAGGGGCGTGGCGGGGAGAAG